AGTAGAGAATAAGGATGGGCAACGGTTATGACGGACAGGTAACGGCGGTTATTTACCCATAACCGTTTATGCTCATACCCGCATAACCGTTTACTCGTTGGGTAATTGCCTAAATAGTTATACTCATACCCATAACTGTTTATAAACGGTTAACCATATCCATAACCGCATACTCATTTAACCGTAACCATTTAATACCCGTTTTGCCATTTACCCTTTTTTTTTTTTACCATTACCTCGTTTTCACATGTCTACATGTTTTTTAACAACTTGAAAATTAAAAAAAAAATTGTCATAATTTTTTTTTGACAATTAAACACAGTTATAGGTACATTCATCATACATTTCCGTATTTTAATTTTTTAAGTCCGTATATCATTCTAATAATTGAAATAATAGTACGGATGATATTTTTAACTGTCACCAATGAAGGTAATATAATATTTGCTAAGTATTCTTGGGTTACGAAAACTGTTTAGAAGACAGTTATTTAACCCATAATGTAAAGTATTAACTTAATATATATAATGAGCTACATTATTTTATTATTAGCTATATAAACCATGTACTATAGTCAATAGCATTGATCTAAGTTTTGTCTGATAGAGAACATAATTTGTGTTAATTTTACATGTTAGAGTTAATGTAGAAATATAGAGAATAATCTAAATGATGACTTTGAGGTACGACTTGAATCGTTTCCTTAAAGTGTTATTTGCCCCAACTCAAATGAGTTTGCTAAAGGGTTCTTAGCAAATCACTTACAGGATACAACAAAGTATGAAATATTCGATTAGCAAAACTGAATTGTATTCCCTTAGAAATAACTAGAAAGAAATAGTATGAATGTGATGGAGAGATGAGAGAGCAAAGAAATTATGTAGACAACAAATTTAATGAATGATTTTCTTTTCTTCCAATGGTATCAATATATAGAGAGAATTGCACCTGTTCAAGTTAATTGAAAATACATAAATTTTGAAGTCATATTAGTTCAATAGGTCATGTATGTTTGAACATATACAAAGCATTATCCAAAACGCATTTTAATGAGTATGCCTGATGGAGAGCACCAATTACCTAAGGGCCATATTTGTTAGGAGAAGGATTACACTTGTTGACTATGAATCATGTCTTTTCGGCAACAATCAAAAGATGCAATATTCAAATTGAAGAGATGTGATTGTTGGGTTAATAACCAAACTTCCCATCCCCTGTCAAACAGCCGTGTGTGTATATATATATATATAATTTTATTTTTAAAATATTCAACATTACATATATAAAATAAATTTGTAAACGGTTACCTGTTTATAACCGCAGTTAATACCCATAACCACCCATTTAAATTTCACGGGTAAACGGTTATACTTATAACCGTTTATTTATTTAAACGGTTACACATAATCGTAACCGTGAAGTTTAAATAGGTGGGTAACTGTGGTTACCCATAATCGTGAGTATTTTGCCAATCCCTAGTAGAAAATGTTTTACAAAACGACGCCTTTGGAGACCCAGCCTTTGAGCGGCTGCAGCGCCTAGTGGTGGCGATGCAAGACAGAGAGAGTTTGAGAAGTAGCGATTAATTTTTTGGATGAGAGAAGCAGAATGAAGCAGAAGAGTCAAGAAGAGGCATCTTCAATGATGATGGACACATAGGTAGCGAGCAAAGCCAGAAGATGCAACAATGATCAACAGGTGGAGAGGAAGGGTATAAGCATCTTTTTACTATGGAAAAAGAAGGCAAGATGATGATAAAGGAAGAGAACGGTTTAAGAAAAAGGAAAAAAAAACGAAATAGCCTTAATAAGTGACGTGGCACAAGACATAGATTAATTCTAATCACTAATGGTAGAAAAAGTAGTTTTGGTTGTAGGCATAATTTACTGAATAATTATAGAGACCATAAAGAAAGAAAGGGTGCAGCATAAAGAGAGAAAGGAGAAATGTGTAATTGTGAGGTGTGTGTTATTCCACTCTATTATGCCTTTATTTATAATAGTAAGAAGATAAATTCCTTACCCCAACAGAATTACAACTCTAATGAGATAATATCTAGTCTAAGAGATATGGTAAAATTCCATAAGGATATCCCAAATATGATAGGATTTACACGATCACATTCATAATCTAATAGGACTGCAACAATATTGTTATTGTTATTTATATTAAATGGGCTTGAAACCACCGTGTTAGCGTCCCGTTGTGATAAAATAAATACATGTCCAAGTTTTTGTTCATTTATTTTTGTTTTATTTGCATGGAATACAATATAATTGTGTATTCGTATCATGTAAATTGATTTAACAAAAATTATAATGTTAGTGTTCGGGTCGGAGCCGCTCAAAGTTTTTTTTTTCCTTTGAACGATGAGCCCTTCAAAGTTGAGTAACTCATTTTAAACACGTGACTTGGAGCTTGGTCCAAGTTAAGCCAACTCAACCTTCCAGGTAGTATTGAAAACGAATGGGATACTAATTGAACATGTTTGCTCCCTAAATCTGCCATAGGGCTCGCGGGCAAGCTTGGGATTTACTTCACATACGAGATTGGTGGGATGCGGGCGTGCCACTACTAGATGCCGCTAGTAGACGGGATTTGAATGATTGAGGTTGCGCCTTTTGACTTCAAATCAAGAGATTGTGTCATTTGAGTGGGAGTTGCTCAAATCAAGATTTTTTTTTTGCCTTAAAAATAAGGACTTTACTTATATGGAGAGATAGAACAATATGTAAATGACAAGGTTGCTCGGAAATGTAAATGACAGAGGAAAGTGGCTAATATTGCAGATTGCTTGTAAATTAAATGACTGAAGAGGAGTACATAAAAGCTACAAAGGATATCGATACTACAAGTGAGTAGCAGAGCTAATAAACTAGACAAAAGTTGGCTTTTGTGAGGGCTGGTCCTAAAAAGGATGAAGGTTTGGGAGCTGACTATAGCTTCGTGAAGGCAAATCTGGTTTGAGCAAAGTTTGTGCTTGTATTTGTTTGTTTGATTGAGTGTTCATAATCCTTGTGTTTGGGCTCCTTTAAATAGAGATATGGAGGAAACCCCCTGCTGAAGACACTGCATCTGCCTGAAAGAAACTTGGGCAGTTTGTATTTCACTTGCCAACTTGCATGGAGAAATAATATTAAAAGGGGAACTTGCATTTCTACCACATACTTTCATCACATGTCTTTCCACTTGTAGTAAATTAACATTTAAAAGAAGCAAGTTGGCTTCTTTCACATGTTCTTTGCATCCACATCCGTATGTTGCCTTCCAACCCATTTGCAAGTATGCAATTTGTTGATTAAACAAAAGCTTAACAAACCTCCACCACCCAAACAAATGGGAGAAACAATATTATAGTGTCAAACCCCTTCACTTGATAGCTAAATATCTTCAAAGTTAGTCTTCTTGCTCATTAATCCTCCAAATGCCATATTTTACCCAAATTGCCCAAATAAGTAAAAATGAGTATATTTTGAGTACAAACAGAACCCAACTTTTGTATCTCTAAACCCAATTATAAAAATTTATTCACGTAAAGTTCCAAATATGCCCTTATTTAATGGAACAAAAAAGTAAGAACCCCAAAATCCACAACAGCAACAATACTCTCTACACTCTCTTCGATGTCGTCGGCGACCACAATCTCTACTATTTTTTCCCATGTCTCCTCTTCGGACAAGGATTATCTGCCTTCCCTGTTCCTCTGCTCTCTTGTTTTGTGTGGTTACGGTTCAGTCACGTCAATATTTTATATTGTTTTTTTATAGAGATAATAAGACAAAAATAAATAGTAATATAAAATGTTGACGTGATTAACCGTGACCACATAAACATGAGAACATAGAAGGTCACGGGAACAAGGAGGATAGACAATCCTCGTCCCTCCTCTTCTCTCTTGAATTCCTTACTCACATCTTCGCTTTCTCTCTTGATTCTGAGACTCGGCAGTAATTGTAAAATGAGTAAATTACACACATTGGGTTCAGTGAATAAAAAAGCAAACCAAACCTCACAGCTGCAAGGGATATGTGCATTCTCACCAACCCACCTTGTTGAACATTTATTCAAAGAAATTTTTTATTAATATTTCAAAAAAATTTATTTATGCTTCTTATAAGTGTATTTTTCTTTCTAATTATAAAAAATTTGGAATGCCAAATGAGATTTTTGAAATACTAATAACAATTTCCTTAAACCAAATTGAAAATAGAAATTGTTAGCCATTAGAGAAGAAACAGAGATTTAAATGAAGAATAAAACAACACCACCTAACAAGTGCTTATGAAAATAACTCAATCAAATGAAGAAAAAGAGGGTACTTTAGAGTGGAGGAGGATGGTGGGTGTCGATGACATCGGAGAAGTGTTGCCGACAGGGTTGAGTTCATCGGATAAAATAAAAAGGTGTAGGGGGAGTACATTCTTGTTGTTTGTGTTTGAGGTTATAATATTTAATTTTTTTTTTTAAATTTTATTCAAGGCTAAATTTGAAAGCTTGCCAGATAAATTTTTCTAGTTGGGCATAGAGATAACAAAGTTGGGTTCAAATAAAAATTTTCATAGCAAATTGACCTCGTGTGAGCTTTACAGAGGCTTCTTGTCTCTACACTCAACTGGAATTTTGAGGGATTATAATGAATTTATACATCCATGGAATTTGATGGGGTTTAATTGAGTTATAGAAAGGGAGGGATGGGGAAGGTGAGATTTGTGATTGTGAATGCCTAAAATGAAATTCCTCAAATTCTCTCAATATAGATTTCAAACTTCTTTAAAATCAATTCCGAATACCATTTAGTACTACGGTCTAATGGTATTCCGAAGTTTTAGGTATGATATTTGCTAAAAACAAATTTGAACTACATTAAATTAATTCTACGAAATCTCCGGGAGGCCATCACGGGATTGTTTGTTTGTTGACCCCGTTACAGACGGGAAGAGGTATGCGATGTCCCTCCCAATTACCTTGTTAAGTTGTTCAAATAATACATGATATTCCTTTTCTAACAAGTAATAGTCTTCTCCTCTCTGATTGTTGATGTTATACATAGCCTTCTAAAGATATGAAATTTGAACTAATGCAATGGAGTTTTAGGCATTTTCAATTGCCAAGGAGCAGGGAATTGGCCTTGTCTAGAACATGTTCCGGTAGAAGTTAGTGCTGAACTATCTGGGAAGGTGTCCCCTGCCGATATTGAGTATTTCGATGAGGTTTCTGGCAAGCTATGGACAGGAGATTGGTGCAGTCTATTCCTTCGCAAAAGGTAGTATTATACATGATACATCTCGCCTTTTGCCACACCAATACACCAATTAATTCATCTCGCCGGCACCCAGTGTTAAATTCATTGTATTTTGATATATGTTTCATACAATTTTAGGGCGGTCTGTCTCGGTTACCAAAGGACAAGTCATTTAGCGTAGCATTAAGAGTCATCCAGTGCGATGTCTTTACTATATCTCCTATTAAGGTTGACTTCTGAACGTGTTTCCTGAGAATCGGGATTAAAATTATGTAATGTACGTGTAGTAACACAGTACACTGATTACTCTTAAAACATAAATTTGTGCGTGATTTCCACTTCCACAGGTTTACAAGCAAAACATTGAATTTGCAGCGATTGGATTATTGAACATGTACAATTCGTGTGGAGCTGTTGAAGCAGTTGAGTGCTTTATTCAAAATTCTAGCAGTGAAATACACATCTAGGGACGATGAGGTGGTAGCTTTGGAGCTTACTCGAGTTTAAAGCCCAAAGCTTGCACAGTGAACTCCAAAGACGACGAGGAATTTGAATTCAGAGGTGAAGATGACAATCTTTTGACAATAACAATTCCCGCCACAACTAGTCGTTGGAAAATTATTCTATGTTATTGATTCAGATTTAAGTAATTTAGTTTTAGACAGATTCAAAATTTGAAATCTTAGACAATCTTTTTAGTCATAGTTAAATAGCTTGAACAATATATGTGAATTTGTATTTACGTGGGAAAAATATAAAAGAATGATACCAGGATTCCTGTGTATAATCATTTCAATTTCAAGATTGTGATGTGGCTGGCTGTAGAATGTCGGCGGGTGTTTTTTTTTTTTTTTTTTGGTATGTGGTCGGACAACCATGTGATCGAGTCATCCATACCAATCATCAATGAAAAATCCCATAGTTTGCTGCTCTATACAGAATGGCTGGAAGAAATACTGTATGAACAAGTACTAATAGTATAGATGTGATTTTAGGGCAACCATCAGGCTTGGATTTTCCCTGGCAGACGAGAAACGCTTCCATATGCAAAAGCACTTACACAAAAAGGACTTTTGTGTGAGGGGTAATGTCTACATACAACTACTCACATGGAATAATGAAGGGACAGAAACTATGGGAGAAGCTCACGACCATGTATACATTGATAATCGTATGTTATTCAAAGTTTTCCTAAGACTCAAATGTCCCCTCTATAGACTATAAGTAATTAGGTACTAGGTACCGACTCCAGGACTCAGTTATTTTGAAAGACAATCATGTAAATCTACTGGGAAATTTCAAATCGAAGGTAGCCACCATCGGTTTTCAGCAAGGAACATATAGAAACGCCAATATGAACACCAATAAATAACAATGAGTCCCTGTCTATTCAGAATCCGCACTTTCATTCAACTCACCTAACTTTAAATGACTAATTTACAATCAAATTAGAACATGACCAAGAATTATACACGTATTTCAATTTCGTTTATATAAAGAAAGGATCCATAACCTTCATATTTAACCACAAAAACTTAAAAATAAAAATAAAAACTGAGAATGTAAACAAACACCAGATAAACTGCCTTCAACATGGCACATGAGATCAAACTTTCAACTACAACAGCCTCCAGCTTGAGAGGAAGCGCCATCTCTGCCTCCTGATGGTCCTGGAATTCCACCATATCCAACTTTTATGCCATAAGACTGCAAACGAGACCAAGAATCGGGAATAAGCTCATACACAGCTCTCTTTCATTCAATATAACAAACTGTTCAATTTGTCTCTGAGCATCCACAAGGGTTTTTGTTCATTTCGTATTTTATAACGATATGATATCATTTTATTTTTTCAGAGAGTCAATACAATGAGCATGAGGCAAGACCCAGCCTCGTCTTTATATATTGCAAATGTGAGCTTACCCATTACATTTTCAGGTTACCATAAATTTAAGCAACTATAATTTGCAATCACAGAAGAAAATTATTATGCAACCCACCAATATAAAATGCATTCATATAATGGCTCCACGAAACCATATAGTCAATCATTACTTGGCATTCACAAAGTACTCTGCGATATCAAAAACACACTTTTATCCTCCCCACCAAACAGAAAGCACTAATGAGAACACAACTATACCGCAGAAATTTTCTACATATTTTAATAAATATCAAGTAATAGATAAGGACATGTAAGGAATAATTCATATAGAGAGAAAGCTAACCTCATTTGATACATCAAACACTCCATCTTGAATCTTTTTGTATATGGTTGCAGCAGTTTTTATAAATGCCTGAATGGATTGGAAAATGTAACTATTATTAATATAGGAAAGGAAAAAAAAATAAAAAAACATGATGAAGATATCACAGTTTTCTTAAAAAACAATGGCCATCAAAAAGCCAATATTTTGTCACCTCCTCAACATTCTGAGCAGTTTTAGCAGACGCCTCCATGAAGATCAAGCCGTGCTCCTTTGCAAACTGCTCCCCTTCCTCTGTGCTCACAGCCCGTCTGTGAGCTAGATCGCACTTATTACCAATGAGCATAATTGTCATGTTTGCATTTGCATGTTGCCTCGCGTCCTCCAACCAGCTAGCCAAGTGATTAAAAGTTTCCCTCCTAAGAGTAAAAGAAGGAATTATCGTCATTGCCAGTGCCTTAACATGGCATAGTAAGGTGCTTAATGCTCTTCATCTACACTAGCATATGAATCCAGTAGATTACTGGGATCTCGCCTGAGCTTTTACTTGTCTAATGCAACAGGCAAAACACAGCAAGAGCATTTTTAAGCCTAACCTAACTGGATAATAGAAGTATGAGGTGTGATTTTCCATGTGAATTGTGATGGAAATACCTTCTCGGAAAACAATTTATTTACAGTGAACAATACACTCTGAGAAACTTTTAGGGAATCAAAGCAGACGGGGTTATATCTTACGCGAAAAACCACAAAGCAAAATTGAATATGACAAAGTGGTGTCCATAGTACATAGTTCATAGTCCGTCGTCCAAAGTAAGAGATGCCGCAAGGCGATAGTGCAACAAAGAATCCAAAATTATTATGTTGAGGATGAGGTTAGAATTGAAAGAATACCTGGTGATGTCATAGACAAGCAAGGCACCAGCTGCCCCTCTATAGTAGGACCGTGTTATGGATCTGAAAGACTCTTGGCCAGCCTAAAAATATATAAATATAATATTTTGTAAATTTATTCGCATGCACGGAAAATCGTAAATCGAAAAGCTTAACAATTGAATTGAATTGAATTGAATTATTATGTCAATTCCATAAAAAAAATTAATTAAAATGAAAGAATGAAGGAATTTGTAAGAAAGAAAGAAACCGTGTCCCAGATTTGGAGCTTGATAGGTTTGTTGTCGATGGTGATCATCCTGGCTCCAAACTCAACGCCAATAGTTAAATCGTGCACTGGCTGAAACCTCTTGTCGGTGAACTGAAGAAGAAGGCATGATTTTCCAACTCCTGCAACACAACACAACACAAATCAAATCGCAATTTATCAAAACGAGGACAAGGACAGAAGAATAATTAAATTAAATTCGATTAATGCACAAATCAAATCAAATAAATAAAAGAATAATTGAAGGAGTACCAGTATCGCCGATGATAATGTACTTGAACAAATACGCGTAAGACATTCTCTGTCTGTCTTATCAACAAAACACACACAAACAACAAGTTTGATCGAATCCAATGATCGCAAATTGAATTCTAATTTCAAAACTAAAACTAAGGTTTGTCTGTCTGTCTGTTGTTTAATTTATTGACAATTTTAATTGTAATTTGTACACGGAACGGAATCCACAAGGGAAAGGGAGTAGGAGTGGGGTAGAAAAGAAAACCACCGAAACAAAACAAGAGAGAGAGAGGGGTCAAACCAAATCAAAAGCGTGAACAGTTTACAGCGAAGCTGTGCGTCTTCTCTTATACAACCGCTCTCCGTCCTCGCTGTCATTTCCTCCTTCACCAACATCACTCCCCAACCCCCAATTATTCTTCCCATTTGGGCCTTCTCCCATTTTGTGTTATGGCCCATTTCTTTAATGCACACCAAAACTGTAATTTAAGTTGCACATTAAAACAAGACCGTTGATTCAGTACTCGGTGAAAGAACCTGAGCTTCCATGTTAGTATATGTTTGAAAACTATAAACAATGGAGAAATTGAAAGGAAGCATTCACTATTCCATTTCTGTCTAAAGATGATGAAAACAAGCGGCTACATTCTTTGGTATGAGAAAATGTCTTGTACAAATTCAAACCTAAACCAAGATATCATGAGATTGTGACATATGGAAATCCAATGACATGTAAATCTAGTTAGGAATGAATCTAAGAGGTACACTTGCATATGAGCTCAATGACCTATCCTACACATTGAAACAAAAGGAACAAAAGGACAAAATTTTCAAAGACTAAGTTCAAGAAGCTAAATTGTTTTGTCAAACGATAGATTTGTTAGATTTTTTTTGTCAAATGATAGATTTGTTATATTAGATGTTATATTAGGAAGCCAATGGGGTTCGAACCCACACCGTGATGCAAGAACAACACTTCTTTCTACCATTGTGATAAAGGGTCACTTACAGTTCAGGAAGCTAATTAACTCTCACACTTTTGGTGAGTACTTTCATACGTATTGTGTAATCATTAAACCCGAAAATCAAATCAGAAGAGGATCATTGCACTTGTTAGCTCTCCCATGAGTTTCTTTCATTGTATTAAACGTCCTCTATATATCTGATATTGATATATATATATATATATAGGTTATTTTTCATTAGCAAGGAGAAATAGTGACGGTGACAGTGTACACTTCTAGAAATAGTAGCAATGTTCAATTTTAGAATTAGTGACAGTGTTCAATTCTTGAAATAAGGACATGTGTTTACGATTGATAATTTTGTCTCACTTGTTGAAAAAATTTAGCTATTTGAACTTCTATTTTTTTACTTGACGAATCACAAAGTATCAAATTTTTAATACGATATCAATGCATTTTCTATTAATTTATTTTCAAGTTGTTGATGGATATTGTTGCAGTCTAAGACAATTGGTTCACAGATATAAAACATAATTTGATGGGATATTGCTGCCATGTAATATTAGTTTGATGAGATATTGCACGCTACCCTTTCCAGCTCATATGCCCTTTATTTTAGGCTTGTTCTCTTTTATTTTTATCTTTATTATATTAACTTTTTATCTTTTTCATTAAAGTGAAGCTTTTGTCATTAAATTGTTTTTGGTTTAAGAAAAAGTTACTACTCCTAGACTTTCCAAAGGACAAAGATTGAGGAAGATGTGCGGCGACCTTGAGATCTTGACCAAGATGATGTATCGGAGACTGAGGCCGGGGCGGATTGCAATTGGAGCTTTCTGCTCGATCAGCCTCTTCGAGAGCCCAACTAAGTTTGCATCGATTAATTGTCACTGCATAAACTAGTTGGGTATCTAAGGCCATATCCAAGCGAGGGTTGGCATAAAGCTTGTTTTAACCATTTGTTTATCCAAGATATTAATATTTTAATGAACAGTACATGGTCATATTTGTCTGTCTCCAACCGAAGGCCAAATGGCCATATGACTCGTTTTAGTCCTGTCACAAAAAACCGTCTCCAACCGAGGGTCAAAGGGTCATAAGGCCAAACATAATTTATTATTTAAAAACTATAACTTAAATTTTGTGAAATAGAAGTTATAGGGAAAAAAATAGAATTTAAAATAAAATGAAACAAATTTTGTGAAATAGAAGTTATAGGAAAAAATGGAATTTAAAAAAAATATGAAACAAATTTTGTAAAATAAAAGTTATAGGAAAAAAAATAGAATTTAAAAATAAAATATGAACCAAATTTTGTAAAATAGAAGTTATAGGAAAAAAATAGAATTTAAAAAAAATATGAACCAAATTTTGTAAAATAGAAGTTATAGGAAAAAATAGAATTAAAAAAAAATGAAACAAATTTTGTAAAATACAAGTTATAGAAAAAAATAGAATTTAAAAATAGAAAAAAAAAAGTTTAAATTCATAAAAATAAAATAAAATTTGAATATAACGGCTAGCTGACTCAGCTAGCCGTTGTATTCAAAACTTTCATACTATTCGTGTCGGTTATAAAACCGACACGATTGCAATTAATCAAAATTATTCTTGTCTAGCCGTTATTATTCGTGTCAATTATAATCGACACTATTGCGATAAACAAAATTATTCCTGTCGGTTATATATGACAGTTTTAAGCAAAATTCTGGCTAACTTGAGGCTAGCTGGCTGGAAGAGGCCAACCCTCTGGCCCTTTCAGATTCCGTGGGGTCCACGAGCCCTCTAGCCTAGCCCTCGGTTGGAGATGATTTTCGGACTATTTTCGGCCCTCTGGCCCTCTGGACTTTTTGGTTGGAGATGGCTTAAGAAACCAACAACTAACAAGTCAAGGGCATCATATGTAGCACCAGAGGCCCATATGGGACTTCATTGGCAATGCCAATGTACGTATTCGTCCCTTCTGATGTTCATTCTTTTCTTTGTCTTCCTCTCTTTCTTCTTTTCTTTTTCTGGTTGTAATTTTTTGTCCAATTCATGTATATAGCCTTAGCCTTATTGCAGGTCGGGCAGCGGAGTCGAATTGCAGGCAAGTACAGGATGCTCTAATAGTTTATGAGCATGCTTCGGGCCAGAGGGTGAATCTTGAAAAAAGTGAGACATGTTTTAACATAAATGTTAAGCGTCCTGTGCAGCTTAAGCTTGCCGAGATCCTTAGGGTGAATCACGTGGATCGACATGAGAAATACCTTGGTATGCCAACACTTGTTGGGAGGAACATGAGCATGTGCTTTGGTTATCTTAAGGATCATCTATGGAAAAGACTAAAAAGTTGGAAGGGTAAAATATTAAGCGCAGTAGAAAAATAAGTGCTGGTTAAGTCAGTGGCGTAAGAAATTCCTAACTACTCAATGAATTGCTTTCTTCTTCCCAAACTATTTAGCGATGACCAAAACAAGCTGATTGTATCTTATTGGTGAAGTGGTGATGAGGGAGAGAAAAAATTACATTGATGCTATTAGGAACATCTTTGTAGTCCAAATAGTGAGAGGGGGACTTGGGTTTCGTCTTTTATATGCATTCAACTTGGGAATGTTGGCAAAGCAGTGGTGGAGACTGTTATCTGATCCTCACTCTCTGGTTGCAACGGCTCTGAAGGCAAAATATTTTCCAAATAACTCATTTATGGAAGCCCTGTTGAATTATGGAGCATCATATGTTTGGAAAAGTATTTGTACTGCACGAAAGGTCCTGAGTTTGGGTCCAAAATGGCAGGTGGGTACTGGACAATCCATTCGTATCTGGGAGGACCCTTGGATCCCCATCCCATCTCGGTTTCGCCCGTACTCTCCTAAGCCAGTGGGAAGCACGCTGACAACAGTGAATAAGTTAATTGACCCTGTTACAAAATGCTGGAAGATTGATGTGTTGGAAACTTTATTTTTGGCAGAGGAGGTTAACTTGATCCGCGTAATTCCGTTAAGTGTTCGTGATCCACCAGATTATTTGATTTGGCACCATAAGAGGCACATGAAATTTATGGTCCGTTTGGCATATCATGCCGCAAGGAATTGGTTACAACCCATAAATCGGGGGGCATCTTTCTTGAACTTTGATGGTAGCACTGTTTGGGCAAAAGTATGTAATGCAAAAGTGCTACCAAAAGTTAAAATATGCGTATGGCAACTTGCAAACGAATTGGTCCCTACTAGGGCTAATCTAGCGGCAAGACATATTACCATGGATGTAGAGTGTGTATTGTGTGGTGCTTATGGTGAATCTACCATCCATCTAATGAAGGAATGCCATTACGTGAAGTGTGCGTGGATGAGTTCACAGGTGGGTCCACTTTTGAGGAACAATCATCCTCCATCCTTTATGGTATGGATCAGTGAGGTTGTGGATTTAATACCAAATGCATGGTTTGATGTTTTTCTGATGGTTTGTTAGGCACTATAGGGAGCACGGAACAAGAAATTTTGGGAAAATAAACTAAAGTCACCTGAGTGATGCATTGCCCGAGCTATTCAGTGGTGGCTGGAGTTTATTAGGACTACAAATGTAGTTATGAAGCATGGTAGCATGCTGATAAACACCACTATATGAATTGTCCCACCTCAGGGCTGACTCAAGATGAATATTGATGGGTCTTGGAATGCAGGAAGGCTTGTTGCTGGGTTGGGTGCCATTATCAGGGATAGTGATGGTCTATTTATAGCTTCCAAGCTTTAGAGATGTATCATCCCCGTTGCCATCAGAGGTTATGGCAGTTAGGGCAGGTTTGCTATGTGCGATTGATAGAGGTTATCAATTCCTTATGATCAAAACTGACTTTCTTCAGATTGTAGAGGCACTGAGGAATCCCATTCTCAATTTGTCATCCATTGGACAAGTTGTGGAGGATTGCAAAGCTCTACTCAACACAATCATTGAAGTAAATATCATCCACATCCGTCGCAACACAAACGTTGTCGCTCACTGCATTGCAAAAGTCGATCTATCTTTTTATGCAAAATTATGAATGGATTGGTTCCCCGCTTAGTACTATAACTGACATACTTGTTAAGGAATATGCGTAGCTCTATGCTTAGAGATGGATAAACTTTTGTCATGCAACTTTTGACAAAAATGAAACCTACTATCGTATCTTTTTTTTCAAAAAAAAAGCCTTAGCCTTATTGCTTTGGTTTTTTATCCAAACCAATTGGGAATAATAAAACATGGAGACTTCGAAGTTTTTACACTACATTTTATTATTTTTGAAATTAATCGTCATATTTTGATTTATTTTCAAGTTGGAATGGTGCAGTGCTGATTTAGTCTCTGAATTATCACCTTAGTGAAAATGAAGTC